AGCACAGAGAAACCTTAAACAAAAACGTTATATTATGAAAAGTAAAAACAGTGTCTATTTCTTGTTTCATTTTGGGGTTGTTCGGTTCTTCATCTGACCTTCAAGGTACTTATACTATACTACACTCTATCTAGTTTATAGGCTTAAAGAATATCTGGTGTTTTGCATCACACAGCAAGGTTTTATACTCTTGATTTCTGGTACTACTTCAAAACATATTCTTATTTGTTTGTACCTACATTGGATTTGTTAATATTTATGGCAAGTTTCTTCGGGTGGATTAGAAAAAATTGACTGTCCTGTTATGCAGTCCAAAACATCTAATTCTGCACACCAAATAGCACTTATTGAGTTATTCATAAATTTTGCGAAATTTGAATTTGATGTACTAACATTATCATGTTGGGGTTGAAAATATTATTTTGGGTGGAGCGCTAGTGCATTCAAACATTTCTTGTTGATCCCGTTTTGTTGACATTTAAGATGTTTCAAGGAAGCATTTTGCTTGCATTGAGCATTTCATGCAAGGAATCAAAGAAAATGCTGGCAAAGAAATTGAATTTGAACCCTGGATACTGTACAACTTCTGCCAGGAATTTGTAGCAACGTTCTCTGTTTCCTTGTGCTGATGTATCAGAAGAGTTCCCCTTCGAACTTCAATTTTACGGTTATGTCATGTTTGGTATGGAGGATTAAATATTGTTATTCATTGTACTGTCGAGTTGTATCCAGTACTATGTAACAAATATGTATTTGGTGTTATTCTGAATAAGTCTGGTTTATAATGTAATCATATGGTGCAAACTAATTTGTTTTTCTCTTTTTATTGATGAAATCATGATCAACATCAAGACATTTTATAAGAAATGCAATTTTTCTTTGTTATGATTTCCATGAAGGATGCAATTCCTTTTAAGGAAAGGATAAAGAGGATAAGAATGTCTTTGTTATTGACCTATGTTATGGAATGGAGTAAACCATGTCCAAGTTAATCTTATATCCAATATTTATATATTGTCACGCCCAATTTAATACCATATAGGATATGTAATATTGCACTTTAGGCTTGGAATTATTATGATTATAGACTTTTAGGAGTGATTCATTAAATAAAAGTAATACACTTATAACACGTTGAGTTTCCAGTTCACTATTACGTGCTTGGTTTACGAAATCAAAGTCAAGAACTAGTTTTAACCACATATTTTATAAGGTCCACAATTTTTTAATCACACATTTCATTAATTTTTATCAAAGTCTACTAAAAATTTAATTTTAATCCTCACCAAATAGGGAAGTATGTTGAAAATTTTAGGATATAAGTGCTACAATATGTAAAGATTGGGGGAGCTTGAGTAAAATCAAAATACTGTGCAACTAATAAAATATTTGGTGTGAATATACCCATTAAACTTTCATGGTAGCTTTGTCATTTTTTGTTTGTTTATGAAAAAATTGAGGTATCTCAGTTATTTCAAGTATTTGACATTTCCAGCGAAATCAACAAATATTTGATGTTCAAATCCTCGATTTTAACGTATCAACAAGTGCTAGTCATATTCCCCAGCATTATTAAATAAATTAATAATTTTTAATTAAAGTAAATAAGTATTTATATTTATCTGGCTTGTACTCGCCGCATGCCGACTGAATGAAGAGCCCCACTTTGAAATCCAAGTGCAAAAGTCCAATTTGGAGTCTCGCAATTTGAAATTGTTTAGACTGGTGGAATTTTTATGCTCAGAGGAAGGAGAAAAATTAAAGAAAAAGGGGTTCTATTCACCTTAGCATTTTTCTATATATATTTACTTAGTGATCAAGTTGTCCTCATCTATCGTGTTTTCAAATTTAGAATAGATTAAAAGATTGGTGGAGACAGCGTATTGAAAGTATAAGCAACCTGCGTCAATTGCTCTGCAAAGTTAACTAATCTAGATTATATAACTTATTACATATTGTTAGATTTTTTTTCCGATGCACATTGATACAAAGATTAATTAAAAATCGTAGATGATGTGTTCGTATATTGATTAGTTTTATAAGTGGGTGTTTTTTACTTTGATTTTGGAGATGAGGAACAATATGTTGCTACTGTTTGGTGGAGATTAAAATTAAATTTTGATAGAAATTTTTGAAATGTGTGGTTGAAAAGTTGTGAAATCTTTGAAAGATGTGGTTAATATTGATTGTTTGACTTTGACTCAAATTAAAATCTAATTAAAATTTTTAAATTTCCTTTACAATGTGCTTTGCTTTATTTGCTAACATTCTTGTGTATACTATTCACCATCAATAGCTTATTTATATAGACTAGTCAGTAATAGTTGTAAAAGCTTTTCACCTCAACAAATGGAAAAATAAATTCATTTATAATTGTTAAGTTTTGGCAAATCACATATGACTTATTTGGTATGCATCCAAGGGCGTGAAATACTGAACAAATCATGTATAATTGCACGAGTCGTGCGTGATGCAGTCTGGCTTGTCGATTTGATACCTCTAATACAAAGTGACATCAAACTATGACTTGGCTTCGTGCGAAACTCGAGAAGCAGTTTCACATAAAAAAAAATTGTAAATGCCAACCATCTTGTGTCTGTGTTACTCGACCTTTTCATCATTGATTTATTATTTACGGACGTTGAGTGCAGAAGTTTCTTCAAACAATTATC